AAAAAAAAGATATAAAAACACTTTATAACTGCAATTAAAAGCCCCCAAAATAATAATGACAAATGTGGAAATAAAAAAAAAGATAATTGGATTCTATACATCAGATTTAAATGTAGCACTGATTGCTGTTAGACAGTAGTTTTAACATCTGACTTTGTCTCTGTCTAGGTGGTTACCCTGATTCACCTGGTACTGGACCGCTTATTCCTGGTGGTTTATCACGTGATGATTGTGTGATTGTAGATGGATTTGATCATGCATTGTGTTTTGCTTTCCGTACTGACAATAGAGGACCTCCCTTGGATGCCTTGGTAGGTTGTATTATATTCCAAAGTTAATGTCAACATTTGTCACTTTTTACAAAATAAACCTAAAAAATAAATATTTCTATTTATATAAATATTGAAAAATAAAACTGCAAGCAATGATTAGGATTGGTTCCAAGTAGCTATGGTTTTATAAAATATTATTATAAATACCTGTATTTATGATGGTCATATATCTTGTCAGACAACACAATTATAGCAATGGTTGCATGTCCCTATCTGCAATAGTACTTATTACATTACAGTTATGCATATTAAGAAACACATATGAAACTAATAACAGGTAATTAATATGCATGGATGCATTTGTGGATTATTTAAAAACACCTATGTACCTAGTTTCATTAAAATTTGATCAGTGGTACTGTGATATTTGTGGAGCACCTATAAGTTGGTTAATTTATGCAAATTAGGTAATTAGTAAGTACAAAATTTAACCTGAACATGTATATGGCTTATCCCTAAGTATTTACCTGTGTGTGTACCAAGTTTTATTGAAATTGGTTTAATGGTTCTTGAGAAAATGCTTAAAATTTGCTAATTAATATGCTAAAATTTCAATCAAACTCAATCAGGTCTTCGGATTACTCCAGAGTACCTATGTACCAAGTTTCATTGAAATCTGTTTAATAGTACTTGAGATATCAGTGTTAGAGCTGAAAATTGTTTAATTATGCAAATTAGATAATTAATATGCATGGAATTCAACCAAAAACAAGTCAGGGGTGAACATTATTCCAGAGCATCTATTTAAAAAGTTTCATTAAAATCTGCTCAATAGTACATGGAACCACTCTTGCGCCTACAAAAGAAATTAGTCCGTCTCATAACTTTTTCAGATTTGTTTATCCTTTATCATTTCATATTATATTGTGTACATATTTGATGTTACCTGCATTGATACATATTTCTTTATTAGACCACCACCTCATTGAAATCATTTATTTTATCAAGTCACGGTCACAGACTAGACTAGCTCCTCAGAGTTATTTCTGTGATATTATTTCTGTTTCTCTTTACATATGAATAATATAATTTTATATTCTACAATTTCATTTATATTATCTGGTGTAAATAAATAAATACAGAAATACAAATACAGAAACAAGTGAAAATGCTTGAAAATCAGTTAATTAATATGCAAATTAGGTGATTAATACAGACGGATTTCAACCAAAAACTAATCAGCTCTGAGCATCTACCCAGAGCATCTATGTACCAAGTTTCAATAAAATCTGATAATTGGTTCTTGAGATACATGTATCAGTGGAACATACACACACACAGATGCACTAACCACAAAGACTCACATTGTGTGCTTCGCACACAGGAGTAACAAATTTCAATGAGGATAATATTCAATGTGTTAACAAGAATATAGTCTGTGTTTTTATCCTGATGTTAATGTTAGTTAAATGCATAATATTGGAAGTAAAAAGAGTAGCACTTATACAGGTTCCCATGGAAACAAACTTCTAAAAAACTATCAATCAAACTTTTCTATTTGACAGGAAGTGATAAGTTATTATAGAATATTAAATTCTGAATTTCCTGGAGCTCATATAGCAGCATCCACGTTTGAAGACTATGTAACTGCATTGCTACCATTTAAAGACAAA